TGATGATGATGATGATGATGATGATGATGATGATGATGATGATGATGATGGCCAATAAGCCAGAAATGGCCATTCGGATCTCCCTTGTCTTCGTCGGTGATACTATTCTGACGATAATCTTTAACTACATCGCCAGAGGGCGCCTTATTCCACAATGGAGATGTGATCCACGAACCAAAGGTCAATTTATCTCCGGATGCACCAATTATCAAAGCCCTTGACCGTCCTTCAGTCGGTAGTACGTACACGGCATTAAGCCATAGCCTTCTACGCCTGCACCGTGCCTCTGTTAAACCTCGCATTGGGACCACAAGCAAAGTCGGCAGAGCATTCTGGACTGGTGTGGTAGGTGGCCACATTGACCCGTGGGTAGCACAAGGTAATCAAAGTAGAAAAACGGAAAACCGTCTTGAGCCTTTTTGAGTGAAACTTCCTTGGGGGGGGGTCTTCGGCGTTCATTCTCAAGCCCGCATAGTCGTAAGTAGAAGACAAAAGGCCTATTCATTATGCATTTCCAAACAAACGATCGAGATGTAATTTGACAGGTTGGATTGCCTGTGATGACCTTGTTGCAGAACACACAAGAGCGCGCGTTTACCGGGTAACAATTACGACAGATCGGTGAGGGCACCATTAACATGTGATAGGACTAACCTTGGACTCTCGGCTTTGTTCGTAAGCCATAATGCCGATTACGTAATCGGTGCCCTCCATCATCCGCGCGACAGGCGACCGGTCCATGGCGGCAAAGGAGAAGTCGGCGCATTTGCACTCAGTCAGGAAATCCTCTAGACGAATGCGCTTGGTGAAGGCGGCTCGAACGACATCGAAGGCAATCTAAAAACAGAAGTTGAAGCAGTGGAGACTTTGCCATCATCTCATATAATTGTCGTCCAGGAACCTTGTAAAACCGCAGGATACCATGTAAAAATCCTAAAGACGGTGTAATAACTCTGCTATTGATTATAAACCATAATTGGCCAGTGACATCCCAACACCAGGCGTTGGGACACCCAGTGTTTTGGATCCGGGTCTGGTATCGGAGTAAGTCACGGTTCACAGATTAGGGAGCTCTATTATACGAAGGACGAGAATAACTTGACAAAAAACATGCTGGGATCCTAAAGTAGTGATATTAAGAATGGACTGGAAAGATTGAAGATTATCTTCTTCGGATTAGAGCTTTGTTACAACTTAGCGATCATGATAGACAGTGGAGGCCTTTTCTTATTAGGCGGCCTCCACTATATTCGATGGAAGTTTGTATCATATGGGAAAGGCAGAGTTGAAGACGATTAAGTAGTGTCGAAAATTCGAGCTAATGTGAGATAAAGTAAGAGGATAGGCTAAAAACTGTACCCTTCACTGGGAGCATTATATCATAAAGAAGCAAGAGGTAGTCCACAAGCTCAGGAAGTGCAGGCAACCCGAACATTTTTGACCGGTGTTGCCTTAATTTTGTCTTCTGGATTCGAATTTTCTATGGCGTTTAAAAACTAACGGATTCAGTCGGTCGGGAATAACATCGGTCGATTTTACCCGTGCTATTTACGAGCCTTGTGCATAACCGAACTGATATTACCTCAGCAGCACCACAGTGATTAGATCAGCAGAGGAATCCTGCAGTTGTCTGTTCAGACGACTTGAGTCAAGTCGCGCAGCGATGCTTCTTTCCGCCAAATCCGAAAGCTGACAACAAAGTCAACTAGGGATGAACGGCAGAAGTATTGGTCTGAAACATCAAATTCCATGGAGCAGACCTCAAATGCTGATAACACTCGAAAAGCCTACCAAATTATCCGCCAAGTTAGTGGTAAGCCCTCGACATTGTGATTCTGTTCGTGATGTGAAAATAGGCTTTATTGCTGACAATTCAGCCAAGGTCGATCGCTAGCGTGAGCATTTCGACTGCCTCTCCAAATTTGATGGGCAGCCCATCCCACCCTCCCTCTCCTCCACAGCGGTTTCATCCATCTCCAGCCTACGCAGTTTCGTACGACCTCATTTCCGAAAACGAAACTGCGGACGTAATATTGACGCTGAGCAACAACAAGGACGGAGAGGACGGTACTCCGCCGAAACTAAAAAGTCTTGTGTTGATATCCTGTCGTCCTGGTTCAATGAGTTGATCGAGCAAGCGTGGAGAGGTTAAG